TTAATTTATAAATGTATAATTTTTGTATTTAATTATCGATATTCAGTAAAAGATATACCACCCATATAACACACACACACACACACACACACACACACACACAGTATTAGCTAGAAAGATAAGATAGACAGATAGAAATCATATCTGATGCAAGTGTCTGGTTGTCCTCGGTGACCCATCCTCGACCTTTGACCCAGTATTTGCACAACAGACAGGAAATGAGGAGCGACTCGACCCACGCCGCAGGCATAGCTGACATACTTCTACTCGTTGCACAAGCACATTAAACAGAGAAAAGTGCATGGAGGAGGAGGACGAATAAGAAAAACAGATCAAAGAGAAGCCGAAAGAGAAAAAAGTCAGCTGAGGAGCAGACGGCGGGATGAACCGTGGATGAACTTTACACAGCGTGTGAATTAAAGATCAAGAGAGCTTCAGAAGACTGGTGTCACTGGAGGGATCTGAGCTGCTTTAAGACCACAACTTTATTCTGACGGGATCAAACTGTCTTAGAGGCAGAGAGAGACGGTAAAAATCACGGTAAACACAGGCACTGGAGCTAAATCTGTGGCTTTTAGACTTGATTCTATTCGATTTAACGCTGTTGTGCTGATATGCAGGACATTATATAAATAAATCTGTGGTTATATAACATATATGGTTACTTCAATAAGCAGAACAGACCTGATTTCTGACCCAGAAACCCTTACAGACGTACCAGTAATGGCCTCAGATGGGAATACCGTAGTCATTTATTATACAGTAGTATGATAGCAAATATATCTACCTTGTGTATTTTCAATGTACTTCAATGTCTGAAAAATTTACCTTTTCCAAACAAACATGGTAATACTATAGTATATGCCCCCCCTCAAAAAAAACCCCGTAAATACCATACAAAACACAGCAATAGTATGGTAATTTGTCCAAATATATAGTAATTCCAGTAAATGTCCACACAACATGGTAATACCATGGTACCATATCCAGAAAACACAATGGTATTGTGTTTAAAAAAAAAAAAAAAAAGCAATACATTCACAAAAAACATGGTATTACTATGGTACATGTTGAACAAAACATGATATTACCATCTTGCCCTTTCCAAAATCACGATAATACCATGGTAAATATACAAACAACATGGTAATACTATGATAGTATTTTTAAAAAATACACTTTAATACAATTGTATTTTTCTCCAAACAATATAGAAGTAGCACACTATGGTAATTCCATGGTACCATATCAAAAATAATAGCAGTAATACCTTGTTTCCTTGTTTAAAACACATGATATTAACAAAATGATGGTATTACTATAGTACGTTCAACAAACATATTACCATGGTATCTTTGTAAGAAACCAGCGTGTTACCATGGTACTTTTTCCAAACCGCACACCAATGCCATGGTAAATGTCCACACACACACACACACAAGTGTTTTTATTTTACTATCAATCATCGATATACTACTGTATTTGTTAATATTTTAATTTGATTTGATATATTTTGCTTTCAATTTCATTTGAGTAATTTTGTGTTTTTGTCATTTTTATTAGTTTGGTACATGTTTAAAATTGTTTTATTAAAGTTTTAATTTGGTTTTTGTAATACTTCAGCTTATACTAAATGAAAAGTTCCGGGTTTTTTTTTAATTTCAAGTAATGAAAATGTTTTTTTATTGTTTTAGTTAACAATATTAACCCTACCACACACACACACCATATATATATATATATATATATATATATATATATATATATATATAG